TTATTTTTAATAGTGGAGTCCTACAACGCTAATAAAACTTTCTATATACTTCTTTTTTGTTTATTCGTAGTAGTTTTATTTTTTTTGAAAAGTACTTTAAACTGTATAAATAATGTAAAATTAATTTGATTTAAACTGCCAATAATACGAATGTCTGCCTATGACCCGATGTCTGTGTGATTCTGAAACCTGATTTGGATAGATCAGGTGTAACGTAAAAGATTTAAAAAAAACAACCGAAACTAACGTTTATTGGCTAGATCAGGCGTAATATAAAAAATAAACTGATACGTTTATTATTATAGTCAAATTTATCACCCGATGCTTATTGGTTAGATCAGCTGTAACGTATACGTAAAAAGAAAAAAAAAGCCGATTTCTATTAAATTTTGCAAAAACAAATGAGTTTAAATACTGTATAAATTTATATATAATATAGTATAAATTAATTTTAAAACTTATATTTGGTCCTTTGGACTTTGAATGGTTTTCATTTACATGGCTTTGTATTATTACTGAGAGGATATCGGATTTGAAAACATGAAATATTAGATTTATATAGTGGAAACAGACCTGGTAGATTAATTTTTTATTGGATTTCATAGGCTATGAATTTGATAGGAACAAGTGTCTATAAAGTGATTGTTGATGAAATGACATGGATCAAAATTACATAATAACTTCCATGTGCATTTTTAAATTTTAGGCAACTTGCTGCAGCATTACGTAGCATGCAGCATCGCCTTCATAATGTATACAGCACATCTCTAGTGTATACGTATGCTCTGCGTTATTTCACAATTTAAGTCAATTACAAATTGACCTAAATCATTTTTAAATTTTGAAATGACATACACTATTTCTTAATCGGTGACAACATAAATTTATACCGCCAGGTTCTAAAAATAATAAGGCCAATAATAAAATATTAATTATATCTTAAATATCCTTTTCATAAATAAATAAGCCATAAAAAAATTTACACATATAAAATTAATAATATATTAAAAACGAAATACTTCATAAAACTTAAATAAAAAAAAAATCACGTATCATAAATAAAAATAATAAAGCTCAATAAAGGCATATGAAAATTCGCATAACTAAAAATTACATAAAACTAAAAAAATCTCACCGATTTTGAATTCACCATGTAGAACACATCTACATCGTCATGTACATTACAAGTTATTTTTTCGGTAGAAATCTTCTGTGGAATAAAACAATATCTCATACGAATCTTTTTTATGTTATTAAAAAGGAAAGTAAGTATATTATAAAACAAACTAAAAAACAAAAAAAAAACAACCTTTTTCCAGGTTTTGTCTTGACCAGCACATTCTGTTGCTTGTGTGCGGCACAAATTATATCATAAAAATTTTTCAATTGAACTAACTTGCGCCCCAGGTTATTTTCACTTAGCTTAATTATATGAAGCTATTCAGTCGTACCAGCATAAATTTTTAAAATTATGTCACCCAATATTTAAAATTTGGGGTTTGTAAATTGTTTGTATATTAAACATTAATTATATTTATTTTGATCCGTTAAACTACGTTTGTTTTTCATTTGACGAATAAAATTTTATAAATGGCATACGTAATATATTTGTAGTATAATAAATTAATAAGTGATTCCGAGTTCTTATTTTTATTAAATTTGAGATAAAGTCCTTCCATTTGCCGCAATGTGTGACTAATTATTCTATGTGACAAATTAGCACCAGCGCATTAAGAATTGACCCGAGTCATTTCTAAATCGGTGAAAATTTAAGAATGACGTAGGTCAATTCAAAATTGACCTAAATTGTGAAACGACGTCGAACATATATACATAATAACAATTTATCTATGCATAATACAGCTGAAATTTAAAATAAGCCGCTGCTGAATTTAGCATTTCTTTGTGATCTTTATTCTAAATAAAGAAATTGGCAAAAAGATTAATTAAGAATTCTAGATCTTGAAGTCTATTATTTAGGAAATGTTTATTTTCAGTGTATTACTAGTTTATGCATTATCTCTGTGAACGAGACTTTTAAATTTCCTGAACTGCACATATGTACTGTACATGCTGACTTTATTTAACCATGCTAAAATAATTATAAATACGCTTCACAACCTATTAAGATCTTTTCCAAAAGCTTGCTTAATTTATTAACAATGGAAAAACCAAGCAAAGGAAATAGTGTAAACAAAGATGACGAAAACTCTCAGAAAATTGTTTCCGATGAAATTTATTATATAGTAAAATTAAAGAAATGGTTTAAATCTTGGGAGTATCTTCAATCGTCATCTAATGTTCACTCTATCATTATTTGTTTGCTGTCACTTGCAGTTGGTATATTTCTTTATATCGCCGAGAAAAATAATATGATGTCAGAAGTTAGAAGTATTATTTCTACCTCTATTTTTGGAACAGGGAGCCTCGCCACACTCTTAGGCAGTTTATTCGCTCTTAAAAACATTTTATATAAAAGTAGATTAGATACACTAGATGTATTATTTGATAAAGAAGAAAAGGTCCCTCGAAGAAAGATCCAATGGGCTGTTAAAAGTCGAATAGATCATGTGAAAATTATTGTCAATTACGAAAATGAGTTTTTGAGTGAACTTCTTGAGGAAGTAAAGGATATATTTGTGAAAATGAAAGATACGCATGCGAGTAATTTTATGGCTGAGATTGCAAAGTGTTATAAAATTAGAGATATGAAATTCATAAATGAGTTGTTAAATGAGCTATCAAATTTTGTACATCCTAAAAAAGAAGGTACTAATGCTACGAACAACGAAAAAAAGGAAATAAGTATAATTGAAATTACAAATGTGTATACAAAAGAAAAATATAAAAAAGCAAATCAGACGATGAACAACAAACAAAAAAAAATAAGCATAATTGAGATTGAAGAGAATGAACTAAATGATGAACACGACAAGCATATGGATAAGATTGCAAAACAAAAAAAATTAATTGAAATTGCAAGGAATGTTCTAAATAATAAACATGATGAACACATGAATAAGTATAAAGAAGCAAATCAGATGTTAATAGATATGTTAGAAAAAACTATAATGAAACATGCAGCACAAATAAAAGACGCAAAAGCAAGTAAAGAAATACCCAATATTGCAAACGAGTTAAAAAATATCAAGCATATAAGTGCAAGAACATATAAAAAAAAGTTATTAAATTGATAAATATGGTCTTAAATGTTGAAGAAAAAATTGCAAATGAGCAAATTAAAAATATAAATGCAAGTAATAAAATGGTTGAAATAATAACCAATTACAAGAATGAAGATATGACATTGATAGATACATTAATATCGAATATGAGTGCAAATATGAATACAAATTTGAATATAAAAAAGAACACAGAAGAAAATCAAGATGAAGACAAATAGCGAAGAAGAATATGAAGAAGATAGATGATGAAACATATAATAAAAAAGATGAAGACGAAATAGCAGAAAAGGATACAAAAAAGAATGCTAATAAGAAAAAAGATAAAGAAACATGCAATAAAGATGATGAAGACAGAATAGAGGAAGAGGATATAAAAAAGAATGCTGATAAGAAAAAAGATAAAGAAACATTTAATGAAGAAAAAATTGAAAACAGAATAGAAGAAGGGAATACAAAATGGAAGACTAATAATAACAAAGATTATGAAGTGAAGGATACGAAAAAAAATACAAATGAAAGTGGTACACGCAAACTAGTTGACAACTTTATTTATTATCATGACGACTTTATTTATTTTCTTGAATATAGTATTATTTTATTTAAATTTATTATTATAAAATTTAAATTAAGTGCAAACAACAAAGAGAGATCCATATTAGAAAAATATGAACGATTTGATCGAAAGCAATTATATTTTATGAAAAAACTAGTTAAACATACACAATATATGTTTATTTTACGATCTGTATGGGTTGCTATATTTTCATTGATTTTTATTATATTGGCAGTCAAAGCTATTTTTATGTTTTAATGAAGATAATAAAAATATATTTCAAATTGTTGATATTGTTCTTATTAGCATTTCTTTACTTTGTTTATATGATACGATTTCTATTATTATCTTAACTAAAGTAATTATTCCTAAGAATATAGATGAAAAGCATCTTTATGAAGATAAAATCTCTTTATTTTATGTACAAATTTGGTTAATTAAACTAAATATAATATGTCTTACTCACAAAAATGGAATAGGCACTGCTAAGGATGTAAAAAAATCATTTGAATGGTATTTAAAATCTGCTGAAGGTGGTCATTCCAATGGACAATATAAACTTGGATAGTGTTACGAAGATAGAATAGGCATTAATAAAGATGAAAAGAAGGCGTTTGAGTGGTATTCGAAATCTGCTAAAAGTGGTAATTCCTGTGGGCAATGTAAACTTGGATGGTATTATCAAAATGGAATAGGCACTGCTAAGGATGAGAAAAAGCATTTAAATTATATCTAAGATCTGCTAAAGGTGGTAATTCTGTCGGACAAAATAATCTTGGATGGTGCTACAAAAATGGAGTAGGCACTACTAAGGATGAGAAAAAAGCATTTGAATGGTATTTGAAATCCGCTGAAAGTGGTTATTCAAGTGCGCATAACAAACTTGGAGCTTGTTATCAAAATGGAACAGGTACTGCTAAAGATGAAAAGAAAGCATTTGAATGGTATTCAGAATCTGCTGAAGGCGATAATCCTGATGGGCAAAAAGGCCTTGGATTATGCTATCGAAATGGGTTTGGAACATTACAAAATCAAGAAAAGGCGATCGAATGGCTACAAAAAGCAAAAAATAATGCACCTAAAACATTAAAAAATTGCTGTAAAGACAATAATAATGATTATTTTCTAAAACAATAATCATTTAAAAATAGTTCGTCAATATTATGGATACCATTTAGTGAATTAAATTTTATCAAAAAAATTGGAAAAGGAGGATTTGCAACTGTACATTTTGCTGAATGGACTCATTTATTCGAAGATATTCTACAAAAATAACAGTTGCAGTTAAATTATTTAATGGATCAAAGGAATTTTTCAAAGAGGTAAATTTTTATTGCTTAATACAGTATTTTATATTCCACATATTTATTATTATTATTAACTATAATTTTAAAAGTTAAGTACACATTATAAAATTGGAAGCGAAGGCCCTACGTTTTTACAATGTTATGGAATAACAAAGAACGAAACCACTAGTGAATATGTCCTAGTTATGCAATATGCGCAAATGGGATCTTTGCGCATGAATCTTTTTGCAATTGCAGGAATGAAATGGGGAAAAAATTAAATTTATTATCGTGTATTGCATTTGATCTTAAATCAATTCATTCATATGATATTATTCATCGTGATTTATATAGTGCAAATATATTCAAGATAATTTGTATAGCGCATATATTGGCGATTTAGGATTTGCAACATCGATTAACAAAATATTAAAAACAGAATCTGGAGGAATTTACAGAGCTTTACCATATATGGCGCCTGAAGTTTTAAGTGGACGAACATTTACAAAAGCTTCGGATGTTTATTCTTTTGGTATAATAATGTGGGAAATCTCTTCAGAAAAGTTGCATTTTCTGGACATGTATATGAAGGTTACAATGATTTAAGACTGGCTATAGGGGTTTATGAAGGATTAAGACCAACAGTTCTAAAAGGCATAGCATTATGCTATATATATTTTTTTAAAATGTGTTGGCATAGTGATCCAGAACAACGTCCATCCGCATTAGAAATATATCAAACTATTGAACGTTGGAAGAATGAAGAAGAATTTTTATTGGAATTTTTGAAATCCGATGAAATTAAAATAAATCAAAATAATAATATCGATATTAATGACTTTCATAGTAGTAAATTTATTAGTTATATTAATCATCCACAAAGTAGTCCGCATGTAATTTCAAATAATA